ACAATAATAGTTAGTTAAAAATTACACAATACTTAAAATTACAAAAAATTTGTAATAAAGATTTTTGTACAATATTTAAAAAACATCTAAATATGCGTTTAGTAAAGACCACAAGTTTAGTAATTTTATTTGTGAAGTAAATAAGTTTGAAGCATAATTATGGCCATAATAAATATAAACAGTCCGTTACCAAATAACCTAGTTATTAACGATTTTAATAATATTTTCTATAAAATTGGTTTGAGTTATACATCATATGAATTATGTAAACCTAGAAAATGGTATAACAATCCATTGTTTGCTTTCATTACATTCATTGTATTTCTCATAATAAATATATTAATTGTTACCATCAGTGGTGACAATGAATTCATTCATATACAACTCGGGGATTATAGATACTGGTATGGATTACCCGTTCACTTTCCCATGTTATTTGTATTGAGTAGCATTTGGGTGCTTTCATTACAAGCAATCAATTACTATGTGTATATAAAAGGCGTTCAATTAAAACATGAGGCGATATTTGAAATGCTTTCGGGTTTACGTTCCCCCAAATCTATTGGTCTCACAAATGCATTAAATACACAAAAATTTGCCAAACAATGCAAATATTTGGCTAATTTTGTATATTATAATAATATTTGTCTATCAATATGTTTTCCAATCGTTAATACATTTCAATATGTAGTCAATACAACACTATTTAATACAATAGTCTACGGCATTCCTAACGCAATAATATATGGCCTATGGCTCCGTTGTTTCATACATATGTTATATTATCAAATATTATATTTCTATATCATTTGTAAATACATTACAATTAAAATCAATGCATTAAATGCTAAATACAATGATATAATTACTAAAAAATTGTTTAAAAATTCAATGAATATTGTTAAAGATATTACTGATTTATACAATGAAGTCAATGAATACAACACTAGTTATTGGTCTAAATTTATGTTTTTATTTTGGACTATTCTTGGTTTAATAATCATTTTATTTATTTTGCTTTCGCTATTTTACGATTATATACCAATTTTAAAATTCATTATGATTTACGCCTGTATTATATATATTTCTCTATTCTTATTCATTATATTAAACGCCTCGGCAATTAATTATAGGGCAAAAAACACATATAAAATTGTTCAAAAATATTATAATACACTTTTTAAATCAAATAAATTTATTGCTGTTATTGGCTTCAAAATACAGCTTAAAGTATGTATTAATATATGTTTAACATTATAATTATAGTTTATTATTATTTATTAAATTTATATATATTTGTCATAAGTTATTAACATTAATGGAAAGGATGTCTGAGAAAAAGTTTGGATTTTCGTGTTATATATTCTTTACAATCAATTATTGGCGCTGTTATGAAGTGAGTATACAATCAATACATTATTTTTTGTAATTATTAAATGCATTGTTATATACCAACAGCTGATCGCTATTTTGTCAGTATTTTTTATTAAAATCACTCAATTAGCGCTTTATGATCGTCGTTGGTATGATTAGTTTGAATTAATTAATCAATCATATATCATTTTAAAACCAAAATATAATTTATCACCATTAATTTCATAAACTATCTACATGTATTAAACCATTCAAATGTGTGCATTATTTGTCTAAATGACAATTGTATTACTTCAACATTCCCCTACCCCCAAATAATACATTTCCTAATACAGCATTTAAACACAATATTAAAACATGTCAATTGTATTTGCGTTGCATCACCAAGTTGTATAATATCTATTGATCCACATTTATATTTAACCAATATCTTTCAAAATGCATTTAAACGACTTACAGTTTCATTAGTGATCCAAAATCATTACTATGTGCAATAATAATACTAACAAACTAACAAACAACCTAGCTCCCACTTTCTATTATATAAATGATCGCAAGTTGCAACAAGATTAAATAACAATGTTTCAACCGTCTATAGGTAAGAATGCAATAATTTTATTAAATTTACATTATAAACATTAATATGAATATTTATTATATTTAATACATTGTTTTTTAGTATTTACAATATTGGTTATAAATATTCATTCAGATTTATAGATTAAATATTAATACTTGTTGATAAAAAGTTAAATATGATCACCATTAACATTTAAATGTTTTAACAATCTAAATAAACAAGTTAATATGTAAACATTAAGTTGGTATATTAATTTAATTAAAACATTAATAATCACTACATTAAATAATTTATTTAATACAATAGTAATATAATTAATTAATGAGTTTTATATTAATTATCTATTTCCTTTGCCATGTTACTAACCATATTAATACATAGGCCATGGCATACCGGTCAAATCAACCTGTTCACCTAGTTCTCCGGACTCCGACTCCAAAATAGACATCTGGATAGATATATTACAAATAATTATAATCAAATAACAATTAAATAATGCATTTGGTAATAATATTGAAAATAAAATAAGGTGTTAATCTATCTTACAATAATAACATCTAGATTTTAAATTAAGATAATAACAATAATTCACACAATAATACATACGATTAGATTCATAGCCGCGTCATTGATTTCATCGTTGGCCACATTGTGTTGTTGTATACGATTATCAACTAAACCATCGATGTCTGAATGATCATTATTGGTGGCAACCCTATTATAATGCATTCTCGCATTGCTAGTCATATCCATAGAAAAAACATTACTGCCATTATTGTTACCATCATGATTATTACAGTCTACGACATGTCTATCAACTATAGTTAAATATCGGCCATTACTGGCACTACCGGTGCCGCCAAAGTCGGTGATGGGCTCTAACGGTGAGATATCTGTTAGCGAACTGTTGGACATACTTTGGACGGACGGCAGGGAAAGGGTGTCAAAACAGACGCCACTCTCGGGGAGGCTCTGACGGGAGGCGCCGCTCATTGTTGTTAGGCTCGGATCGCAACCGCGGGTCACGTCATAGCCATTGCCGTCGCCGTCGACCGATGATAACTGTTTGGCCGACACGGATGTCATGGCTGTGGCCGACGATACCGACTGAGAGCTGCTCGTAAGAGAACCGATGGCCGACGAAGAGCTAATGGATCCGTTAT